TTCGAAATGCAGCACTGGGCAACCATCAAGACAAAGACTTGATCATGGGTAAGTCCTGACATTACATCTCTTTGCTACTTTCCAAACTTTTAGACCAGCATTTGGCTGAAAGGAGGAAACTGTAGTTCCGCTGGACAAGTTCACATGTAACACAAACCATGGGAGTAATATACCATGATCGCTTGGGGAAACCCACGAAAACAAGCTTGCCCTCTCCTTCTCCTACATCCCTCCCTGTGATATGCCAGAGGACCTTGCCGGACCACTGAGCCCTTTCTCCCACGCAGCCATGATAGCAAGCCGATGTCAACGCACCGCAGTCACCCGCTTAAGTTTTCCAACCTCGAGACTGTGGAGGCTACCACTCCAGAAGGCTTTCATGGCTCCCTCAGGATTATCCCAGCAGAAGGGCGTTCTACTACTCCTAGAGTTGCAATATCCTTTGTGCCTGCACGTTGCTCCAGCTGAAAAAGGCTGAAAGCTGCCCACAGGATGCCCCTCAGGAACTGAGCCCTGCCTGTGCTGTGGGACGAATCCAGCGGTGTTGAAGCAGTGTCACTGGAGCTGGGACGATATCCAGTCCGGGTCATTCATGCTTGTCAGGCTGTGATGGTGAATGGAGAGGAAGTGGTACACATGGTGTGGCAGAGGCAATGAATGGGGAGGGGCAGGTCAAAGATAGTGGAGGGGAAGGACTTGAGCCCCCCTGTCAAAACAAAGAAGACGTCCCCACCCTCTCTGTAAAATTTCTCAGGTCCGTAACTAGCACTTGCATGTCCCAGGCGGATTCTGATGAGTGTAGCCAACAGAATTATTTTAGCTGGAGGGTTTAAAGGTTCCCTGTTAGAGTGGATGTAGCTGATAATTAATGTTCATGTCTAGAAAGAGTACAGCCTCACCAAACAAGGACTTCTCAGATCTGTCTATGCAATGTATTATTGCATAATACATGCAATAAGCTTCTTGCTTAACATTTCACAGTGCTTTGAACTGGCTACCGCCTCCCTTTCAACCGCTAAAAGCAAAGCTTTTGCTTCAGTGTTTATGCACCTCTGGCCTGTCCTCTACCTGAGAGGTTGTGGTTTTCTTCAACAACCCCCCACACCCTTTCAGTTTATGGTGGGGAGGGACTTGTTTTCCTTCCATATATCAATCAAGAGTTTGACGTGGCCTGAAAGAACATGGGATCCTGCTGTAGACCCATAAACTTGATGGATGGGCAAGTCACAGACTTGTTATCAACACAGTTTCTTGGCAACTTCAAACTGGCTAGATATTTTTATTCACTGGCTCACATTAGTCAGCACATTAATTAAGCATTAACTTTTCTGTCTTGGACTCCCCTTGAATTCAACATGTCAGGTCATACTCAAGTATTCAGTTACAGCGCACTGCCCATGCATCTTCCAGCAGGCTCCCTAGAATTACAGATGATGGAGAGGGCTGGCTCCAGGATTTGGGGGACCCTTGGGCAAAGGACCCTTAAAAGCTCCCTCTCTCAGCAATTTGCCCTCCCAGCACTGCCACTGTGGCACTTGCTCCTCCCTCCCTTTCCCATCCCTGATCCCGTGACACAGCAAACCGTGCCATCACCTGGACCAGTGCAAACGCAGCACATGAGACAAGGCAAGGTGCACAAAACCCAAAGCCAGTCAAGGAATCCTGTCCCACAGAGCAGAACATCCCACAAGCATCTCTCTCCATCCCTGTCAGCTACATTTGCAACATCAGCTTATGAAACAAATCATTTGCTGTGCTTTCCTGACACCCCAAAACTGCCTGAGGCAGCCACCTGCCCCCCTTTGATAGTGGGGCTAGCCCTGGGGGTGGTTGCCCAAAGGTGACACTTTCAGCTCTGAGCAGCGAGGGCAGTGCTGATCCTCAACTTTCCAGTACCCTTGGGCAAGAGGCCCTTAGGGGGGTGTCCTCTGAGTGGGCCACAATCCTTTGCTGCATTCGCAACAGCCACTTGGCTTGCCCTGTCTCTTCTCCAGGTGGCAAGGGGGAAAGGGTAAGGCCAATGGAAAATTCCGCTCCATCTCCCTGCCCCAGTCCCTGCTCGCTTTCAGAAATGAAACAAATGGACAGATTTTCAGAAGCTGCAAGCAGGATGAGGGGCTGTTCCAGAGGTTGGTGCAAAGCCCCTGCTGGAAAATACTCCACTGTTGGCCCCAGTGGGGAACAGGCATTTGGTGCATGCTCAAAAGCATCCTTTTAGCTATTGAAAAGCATTGAAAATGTCATTGAAAAAACATTCTAAAATGAACCCCTGGTCAAATGAAGCCCCAGGAATATCCATACCTTAAGAAAACTTCATAAATAAAAGAATGCTTTTGAGAATGCATAAAATGTCTGTCCCTCACCAGGATAAAATGAGAAATAAAATTAAGCTTGAAGATTGCCAGAAAAACACCCAAAGCCAGCTTTTGAAACGTGGATGATGGTAATATTTGTCATGATGCAAACTTATTAGGATCATAGAACTTCAGAGCTGGAAGGATCTTGGACACACTTCGTCTGATCTCCTGCTCAATTCTGGATTGACATGGCAGGCTGTAACTACAGCGTCCCCGCCTGATTCGATCCATTCTTTGCTTAAAGGACAGTGTCAAACTGCCATTGCAGCAGAACACTTCTTCAGCTTCTGGATGACTCGAGCGCCTCTTCCTCCTCATCCTCCTTGACAGCACTGCTGCTGCTTGCTTGCTGGACAAGTCCAGCATTTGCAAACAGGCATCCATTGCTGCTGCTGCTTCCCACTACCACCACTGTTGGGCCAGAGTGAGAGGGAGCTGAACAAGCAGCTCCAAACAAACAAGAGCAGGAACATCTCCAGAAGGATGATGTGGCTCCTCAGCAGTGCCAAGCCTACCCCTGGCAGATATTTGAGGGAATTAGTTTTAAGGACACATGGAGGATATGTGACCACCTGTAATGCAGAGAACCATGCTGTCTTCTTATTTGGATGAAATGCAAACTTGGAGCTGTTGGAGTTAGAATCTACATATGGTGCACACCTTCTGGAATTGTGATAGCAAATGATGAGAGATCACATCTTTGAATGTGGACCAATATACAGATATGCACATTGCAAGTGGAAAACTAGCATAGTAGGCTTCAGATTACACTTCTAATGCGCTAGTTTCTCCCATTCTAATTACTTTTAAATGTTGCCGTATGTCTGACTATGTGATTTCTCTCTGTGCAGTCCAGAACTGGAAAGCCTCAGGAGGGCTGTTACATGAGTTACATGAATGCACAGAATGCCCCAAATCATTATGACTGGCCTCTATGGAATTACAATGGTACCCACAGCCCATTACAAACATTAGCTGTTATGCTTATGTCCCTGCTTTTGTTAGTTGATAATTGTCATGGCTTTTTCTATATCCTGGGTATCTAGATATATCCAGAAGACACCAGGATAGATCCAAAAGTACCTTTCACAAGGTCCCTGAAACCACCAACTCTGCACATCCTTTCCTCCTCCTTCAGCCCCCTACATTCCTTCTGCACCTTTCCTGAAAGCAAACATTCATGTGACACAGGCAAATGCAATGAGGACGTTGTAGGAAAGCATGAACAAGGCACTGCTCACATTTCTCTGGATCTTACCTAGTATTTTGTTGTACCTTGGCTGTAGATAGAAAATTGCTGAGTGATCTATCTTTTACTTTGGAAGAGATCAATGATCCATCTAATGCAGCATTCTGTTTTCTGAGTGTCAGTGGCCAGCGCCACAGGCAAATTAACTTTTAAGATATGAGAACAATATTAGTTCTGTCTTGCTAATCCCCAAAGTCTAATAATCTGATCCATTCTTAATAATAATAGTAACAGCAATAATAACTTTCACAGAAAGCACCTATAATATTGAAAAATAAGATAGCTCTTGCCTGCCAGCTGACAATCTAATAAACATAATACAAATGAAAAACAGGAATGGGGAAGAAAGAGGAAAGCAAGGACTGGAGCTATAACTTCTTTTTTGACTGATGGAAAGCTATACTGTCTTTGAAGGTAGAAGTTAGCTCTCGGGTTAATAAATGTGGAATATAAACTTAACAAATAAATAAGTTCACTTCTGGTCTTGTATCATGATAACCTTCTGTTCCCTTTTGGAGATGTTTTAGTTAGTGGCTTCCTGTGGTCAGGTATTGTTTATTTATGATTTCAGTTACATCCAACCTGTTTCCTCTTGCAAGGAATCAAAGGAGACCTATCAGTCCTGTTCTTCTCCATCTTATCCCTACAGCATCCCTACGAAGCAGGCTATTCTGAGATTCCATCATTGGCCCACAGTCACCCAATGAGCTTCATGGGCAAGTGGAAACCAAACCCCAGATCTAAGTCCAACACTAACCACTGGACTATACTGGCTTCTACACTGGTGTTCCATAATTTATTCTGTGTTATGTGAAATTGTACCTCTTTTCATTTGTTTGACTTCATAATCTCCTGGAAAATGTAAATGATTTGGAAAACTCAGTGGAGCATCAGGACCTATTTTGGAAATGGAGAACTAAAAGATAAAGGCAAAGTAGCTGCTGTTGCTGTTTATACTGCAGAAAAAATAATATTTAAGAAAATCACCATACAACTAACATCCCTCTTTTTTGAGAGTCATGGTTAGCAAAATAGACCATCAACAGTGGCCTGACAGCATGACAAATATATATGTCAAACCTTCTACAGATGTGCATTTTGTTCTTATGCCAAGTTCACAAAGCAAATAGCTTCGGTTACAGTGATGTTTGCCCTGAAAGTGCACCAGATTTTTTTTTTTTTTATCTTTTTCTTCTCCCCTTTTTTAAAGAGCTGACGCAAGTCTGAGAAAGGGAGGTGTTGAGTTATCGTCATTGTTGATTGGTTTGTCTGATACACTCCCATTTGCCTTTAAATTATTCATTGTCTAGCTGTTGAAGGTCTTCTACAAGGAAACTCTGAAAGATAGGTGCCATTTTTTAAATTAATGTTATAGCTTAGTGTGAAGAAAGTGTGGGAGAGAAAGGAACGAAGAAAAATAGAAAGAAACATAGAGGTAATTATTTTTTTCTTGGTGACTTCCAGCACATTTCAAAGTAAAGGATCTAAAATGAAGATCAATTTATAATTCATATTTAAATGTAAAATATGGGAGGGAATATTTAATTGAAATTAAGGTTTTCTATGATTATTGCCAAATTTTCTTCAGAAGTTGGATTTTTTGTAAGAATTCAATACTATAATTGAGTCTAAATTTTTAGAGATAACTTCACTGATTTGGTCTAGAACAGATTTACATGCATCATTATTACATTGGTCTTAGATACATGAAAAGTATACATTTGCTTTTGCTCATTTTTTATATAAGTTCTCATTCTTTTCATTCATTCTTCCACAAAGTTAATACATTAGTTCTCAAAACAAATTGCCTTTGTGGCTATTTTTGAAACCTTCTCTGCAGTGTGATTGACTAAACAAGGTAATATCAAGTTTAGATCCTATTGATCCAAAAAGGATCTAATCCCAATCATGGGTTTCCTCAGTGGTCTCCCATTCAGGTACTGATCCCATCAGGACTTGCTAAGTTTCAGCAGAGTTGTGGTATCATGTGCCTTAGGACTATGCCTTGAACCAATGGTTCTTCTTCATACTTTCTCTGTACATCACATATATGGGTTTCTGTTCTAGCATGGAGCCTCATTTCAGGAAATTTCCATGGCTAAGGGAGACACGTTCCCCTCCATTCCAGTGCACATGTCCTTAGTGGGTTCCTGTCTATTCCCTCAGTTCCTGAAAGCTCCTATTGCGACTTTGGAACCGAGAGAAATCTGAGCCTCAACCCTGATACAGAGATTGGCATTGAGACCAACAGGCCACCTAGCTGAAAAACCAATATGACTCTGGCAATCCAAATGCGGATTTCCAGTGTGTGGGTTCTGTGCATGCATAGATGACTATTTGAAGAACTACAATTAGAGGTAAGCAACCTGTCTTTTTTAGTCCAATAGAAGCCCATGTTCATAAAAAAAATATGCAGGATATGTAACCTGCAAATAAGGATCCTCTCAGGTTTATGGTCCTGGGGATTGAGGGCATTCTTCACAACATAGACTCCAACTCTTTTGCTTTTTGTACAGAATAAAACAGTTCTGTTGAAGTGGGGACCCACTGGGAGCATGCAGAATTCATGGTTCCAGACAGATCCTAGATTGTGTTGGCACAATAGGTGCTATTTACCCAGTGAAAGAATTCCAGAGCACATTATAGCCTAACGTATTTTGGACATATAAAAGGAAGTTCCAACTTATTGCAGTATGACTTACTTCGAAGTCCATTTCAATAGGGCTGACTTTTAAGTAAATGTCTTTTTTACCGTAGCTTTGTACTCCAATCCTATAAATATCTACTGAAGAGGAAGTCACATTATGTTTAATGGACTTACTCCCAGGTAAATGAATATAGGATTTCAGCTCAGGTGTATCTTTTGCTCCTCTCTTGGTTCATCCGCAGGTCACTGTGAGCCTGAAAAGCATTTTGAACTCTACTCAGTATCTCACGTAGCCAAGGTACTGGCGTCAGTTACATTGTCAGGGTCACCTATCCTGTGATGAACAGAGTGTGGACATGCTCTACCTCTGAATGCACTTATCAGAATAAGGCACTGAATTTTGCAAGCAATTTCACGACTGAAGCAAATCAGGAGTGTCAGCGTAACCCACCATTTAAATCATATTCTCTCTTACATGCTCGGGTTCCCCTACCCCTTGCAATTCTGCCCCAATCCAATTTTTGTTATATTCAGCTAATAGCACAGAACAGACAGGAGTCGCACATGGAATGCACATCCATGTGGCCTATATGAGCACTGGAAGATGGATGCACACAGAGACGTGCATTTGCAATGCATTGGTATGCGTGAGAAAACTAGCCTTCCTGGGTCATGGTGATTATCCTTACCCCAATTCGTTTTGTAAGCCAAAGTTACCATTGGAAAGGAATGAAACACTGATGGGAAGTATAATTCTTAAAGACTTAACTAAATGTATATTAACCAAAAGCCCTGAATTGAATAACATAAGTAAAAACAATGATCAGTAAGACATCCTGGTAATTCCCACAACGTTTGTTGCTACCTGTTTGTTCTGTCACAACTTATTTTTCTCCAATTTTAACAGATTCTAGGTAGCTATTAACTATTAATTAGTTCATTGTTGCTATCTTTTAAAAATAGGGATGTAACTATAGATACAGACCAGGGTCATTGCATGGCAGTCAATGGGGTGCCCATGTCTCCACCAGCTGCTCTGTGCCTCACTGGTTCTGCTGTGCAGACGGCGGGTCCCACCAGTTCCACTGCATGAGTGGGACCCACTGCCAGTGAAAGGACTTAGTATTTCCAGGGAAATGTTCCTTGCTTGTTAGGAACAGGTCAGCAGAAATCCCCTAGGTGGGCTTCACTGATCTGCCCTGTTCCAGAAAGGAGCACCTTTGCTGGTTTCCATTTGCCCCAAAACATACAATCTTCCTTGCATAAACCTGTAGAAAGGAATGGGGTATGAGAGAATTTGTAGAGGTATAAACATGCCATGGGGTTCTACCTATTCCATTTGCCTGAAGACAAATACCTGCCATTGCACTTTTAGCACAACGGAGACAATATAGTTTTGTGCTGCTGTAACGGGAGCTCTTTGTATCTCAGGAATCAGGTCTCTGTAATGTAAACTTCACTAGCTTTCTCTGACCTCATGCCAAATTAGGTGATCACTCTCAGTAACAAGACTGGCGTGATCATGGATGGGAATGTGCAGATCGGCGATCTCTGGTAGGAAACTATATCAGGCAATCCAGCATTTTCTTGCTTTTTAAGACTAGATTGTAGATTTTCAATAACAGGTTTGGCTACCTAGCTTTCCAGAAGTCTATTTTACTCTGGTTGTTGTGCTGTAAAAATACTTTAATGTTCTATGTATATCCACATTTAATGCTCTCATTCTGTAAGAAAATATATAAGTGGGTGTCTTTTGAGAACAGAATGGTAATGGTTTTGTACTCATCTCCTCTAGTTGGAAAATTAGAAAATATGTATTATATCAGTAAAACTTAGAGTTAAGGAAAAAAGGAAGAATTTGCAACTTTTTATGCTGCTGAAGTTTCTCATATTAACTTTAAGAACTGCAACCATTATTTTCAGTAGTAAATATATATGTGGTGGGTAATATTTACGGTGTTTAATTTGCTGGTACACTGTGTCCAATTAATCTGTTATACTGGCAGTCACAGAATCAAATCTTAAGTGTTGATCATTCTTTGGCTAACAAGTGTGTGATTCAGCTTCCTCTCCCCGCTAATATTATTTTTAGCACTAATCGCCATTGTAAGTAATGGGATAGTTTTTGAGCCATGAGAAAAACACACCATTTAACAGTGTTTTGGTATATTGTGTAGGAAATTAAATATTGGTTTCATGTGCATCTGTGCATTTGGATCAAATTGCTGTTAAGGCCAATGCATTAAAATGCTAATGAAAGCATTTGTGACTGTTCATTGAATAAATCGATATTTTATTTCCTCACATGGAAAACAAATGGTTTTGTCAGCCACCTGAAACTGATATAGTTGTGGTAATTCCCACAGGAATGATTTCCACATGTGTAGATTTTGTAATCCTGTTTATGAATGACATTGGCTTACATACTTAGACATTCATCTAGGATGCAGTAGGAGAGGCGTATATACTAAGATCGAATCATACATTACAGTAAGGAATGTAATTATCTGTTAGAAAGGCACATTAGTGTCTGTGAATCTGTGACTTTTGCGATTCTTCCCTCCATTCAGTCCAGATTCAAAAGAAAGAACTAAGTGGAGACTATAGGTATAATGTGTAATCTAGACAGTTCCACTGAGAAGGCATAAGGCAGTGTGTCAGGAAGAAATTAGACTGTAAAAAAAGAAACTGGACTGAAAACCCATTTTGAAATTCTGCTAAACTTGCCGTTCTTCACACATAAGCAATTGTGTGTCTGAAGAGCAACTAATGGCGTTAAAGAGCTAGGTGATGGATCTCAAAGTGGAGCAGACAGATTCTCCAGAGTCCTGCCTGAAAAGAAGATAGTAAAGAGATCCCTAAAGAGGAGAGGGAAGAGAAGCAAAGAGAGGTGGGATCCAAGCCAAGTGGAAAGGCAACTATAGCAACAGAAATAAGGGTCATTGAACTGGAGAAACTTGCTGTGGTGAAGCAGGCCTTGCAGCAACAAGAAAAATTCTTTATTCTGGTATTCACAGTTTGCGGTTTCTTGAAATGACCACAAGGATGGAAGATATGGAGAGATGGTGTTCATAAGATGATGAAGGGAGGGACCTGAGAGAGTTTCCCTGACATCTAATTAGAATTCAAGCACAAGGAGTTGGACAAAGGGATGGACAGGAGGCAGGCAGGAGTCTGAAATAATCATATATGTGACCTCTTTAAGATTTAATGTATTGCACAAGTTCCTTTTGACCATTCACTTTATCTTCATCAGCATCAGTCCATGGCCACTGCATGTGTCTTAGCCATTATACTCTATGGTGTAGTGTTACCACTGTGCATTTTACCTCCTGGGGCAATGCTATTATCAGCCAACTGATAATAGACTAGAAGAGAAACATTTTCTCAAATAAAGGCTGTTTTTTACCTGTAACTGTAATTGTTGCATTAAATATACATCCCAGTTGATGTATATTATGCCAGTAACACATGTAATATAAATTTGTTCAGTATAAATTAGACATTTCACACTAAAAACAATTGTTTGACTATGATGCATTACTTGTGAACATGGCCAATTTCAAACAAAAAGCAGGATGCCTGAAAGTACAATCAAATGTATATTCTATCAACTATACATGATGCATTGAATTATGACATATTTCAAGATAATGTAATTTCTTTCAGGAGAATTTGATTAAAATGTAATCATTATGATTCATGTGTGCCATTCTACTCAGACAGTATTAAACAATATTTCAAGTGAGCTCAAAAGTCTTCCGACTTTTCAAAGCAGGCTTGCTAGTTTATAAATTAATCAGTAAACTTTTATAACTGCAGTGTTACATTTTAAATATAACACTGTTATGGTGTGATTCAGTGTTGCACCCGTAACGCTGCAAACTCAAAGGATTCACACATTCTATCAAGGATGGACAGATCATGGAGGCAAAAGTCACCTTCACATTTCTCCCACCCTGCAGAGGACTTAGATAGCTATCATCACTGCTTGGAAAGAGGAGAGGCTGAGCTGGCGGCTGCACTGCCAGCACACTTCTCCCTTTCCTGTCCCCAGGAACTCCCACCAAATTCTGGCCTCAAGATTGGTCTTCTGGCCTTGGAGGAGCAGCCAGCACAGAAGGAGCTGCAATGGCTGCAAGGATGGAGGGAAGGCGCTCCAAGGTGGCAATCCCAATACCAGTCTCAAGGGGGCGTTTCAGAGGTTGGAACTGGACTCGTCTTCCATAGACAGCACCTAGCTGCCTTGCAATCACAGTGTTAGGCATATTTAAATAACTTCGTAAAACTGCAATTTTACATACTGGCTTTTTCCAAAGTATTATCATTTTTTTCCCTTGCAGATGTTTTTTATCCTTTTTGATAAGCTAACCTGAGCCAAATTTGGAAGAAAAGGCTGGGCGCAAATACATTAATAGAATCAGTTAATGTTGCTGAAGAAAACAATTTGATTGTCATAAATTAGAAACAATTTGAGAATTCTAGATACGTTTGAATTAATCCAAATTTTCAAATACAAAATTATTCCACCTTTCCCCCCGCACGCACACACACAAAAACATATACATAGAGTGATGTTCATGAATGTATCTAATCTGAGATCATTTTTAATGAATGCCTTGGTGTCTTGTTTATAGAACAGAGTGTTCCAAGAGTCCATCTCTTTCAAGCAGAAGGTACAGTTCTGTTGACACTGAAGACACCTCGTTGTGTGTGTGTGTGTGTGTGCATGTACTGGAAATTGCTGACAGCTCAAATGGATCGCATGGAATTACAAAAAGTCAACACAGAACTTGACGAGGAGAGCAACAGTGGTGAAAGCACTGAAGACAACTATACCGATATGGTAGATCCAGAGAAGGCTACTATGAGCAGGTACGTTATCAAGAGTGTAAGAAAAGCAACAGGGGACTGTTCTGCCAAGAAAAAAATGGCCTTGTTTTTAAAGAGTTAAGTTGAGTTCCTGTATTTCTTGCAGTATTGAGCCTAGTTTTAAAAAATCCTTCTATCAAAGTAGTCTAAAGATTAACCTTCAAGACAAACTGGGCATAAATCTATGCTCAGTGTAGGTTATTCATTATGCATTCTTTTAAGCTATTTGAATCTGCATTTAATGCATTTGTATCCTCTGGATAATTACTACTCTTCATTTTACAGGTATTTGAGGGTGGGGAGTGTATGTAAGAGTGGTGATTTTATATTCATGGCACTATATTTTTATGTTGTATTCATTGTTTCCATACCACCTAATGAGGGCTTTGAAGTCCTAGCTGAAGTGTTAGAGATTCTCCAGTAAATAAATGAATGCATCTACTGACCTTATTCCAAGAAGAACAAGGCAGTCTGATTGGTTCTGATCTCAATTTTTATCTTCACAGTAATCCTGCGAAGTAGGTTAGGTTGACAAAAGGTTGACTGGCCCAGGTTCACTCAGCAAGCTTCATCACTGAAGGCACAGATGTATGCATGTTCAGAGTGCGTGTGTCGAGGGGGAGCGCACAACTCCCATATGCCCAAGCCAGCACAGGTGGAAATTCTAGGTCCTTTTTCTTTTTAAACATGCATGGGGTTGCACCCTATTTGATTCTAGCTCTTCTGACTCCTAGTCCAATACATTAACTGACTTCACCACACTGCCTCAAAATACATGGCAATCCATTTCATAAACTAATCAAACTGCATGACATTCTTACAGTGTGCAGTTGCATTGATCTTTCAGTTAGAAAAGGCCCAGCATAAGAGATGAAAAAGAAGTCTGAGGTTGGCCTAGTGGCCTAGGTTCAAAGAACTTGGGTGAAGTAGCATGCAAACATTCATTCCCCCTCCTGAAATGCTACTTTGCAGAAAGAGATATGTCACTTCTTGGGCCTTTTGAATATCTGTTTTTACTTGTCAGATTCTCACTTATTCTAACATCCAATCCATGTGTTTTCTGGCTGGGATCTAGCAGGGTACTTCCATCTGGGAAAGAAGTTTTGACCTGCAGAGTCCTCAGCTAGTGGAACAGGAGGGTGCTATTTTTGCTGGTTCCTCTTTTATCCTGAAGCCCCTTCAAATGTGCCCCAGAGGGCTGGAGGACTCTCCAGAGTAGTGTGGAAGATGGCACTGAGATTTATTAGCATTGCGGTACAATAAATAAGAATGGCAAGTTGGAGAAGGTTGGGATAGAATGCTATAGTTCTAATGGGGAGAGAAGGGTCAAATCATGCCTAGCTGTGAAGCTCACTTGAAGACTTTGAAAGAGTCAGAGCTTCCCACTCCACCATATCATACAGAGTTGCTGTGATAATAAGATTGGATCACCCTATGTGCTCTTCACAGAGTTCACAAAAGAAATAGAGCAAGACAGGCATACAGGCTCAACTCTGTGTCATCAGGAATGGTGTTTTTCTTGCTGATGTGTTAAACGTGATTTTCTGACCCAAAATTCCCAGGGCATCCTAAGAAGCTGGGCAGGGGTGTGGCTCAGTGATTGTTTTTCATGCAGAAGTTTCCAGGTTCAATTCCTGATGTCTTTGGGCAGGGCTGGAAAGCTTTCTACTTGAAACCATGGAGAGTTGCTGCTGGTCAGTGTCAACATTATTGGGCTAGATGGGCCTATAGGTTGACTTAGTATAAAATAACTTCATCTGTTTCTGGTAGCATGTCAAAGACAGCAATGTCACCTTCCACCCCAGGCATGGACCCTGTTCGTTTTAAGACCTCTGCTGCAGAACACCTTGGTGTGCAATTCTTCTCCATACCCATATCCCTGTCTCTCCCACACACACACACACACACACACACACACACACAGAGAGAGAGAGAGAGAGAGAGAGAGAGAGAGAGAGAGAGACTGCCAAGCAACAGCTGAATGACCAAGATAATCAAAGAGGGTCTTTGATTCTCTGAAAGTTACAGGAGAAAAATATATCCCTTGACACAGGGCAAGGAACTCAGTGAGACTTTCTTATTCACTGCAATGCCCCACCCCAGCTTTATAGTAGCTATCCTTGGTGCTGAAATCCATCTGCACCATGTTCACCATGTATACTTCAATAAAGCTGAAAAGAAAAGCTGCAATGGATGAGGAGCCCCACAGACATAGGTGTCAATTTCCTTGTCAGCACCAGCCATAGGAAGAACAGTAAAGGAGCTGCGACCAGTGGCTGGTGGAGGCTAATCCTGGAGGACAGAGATCCACAGCCAAATGTGAATGGACTTTGCTGAATTACCTCATTTCATTGTGCGCGCTCTCTCTCTCTGTCATCCCGAGTGAAATTACATTAAGGAGTGAACACAATTCAGTTGACGGGAGACTTTTTATTTGATATGTTCTTAAGAGGTCCATGATTTAGACTCTGTGGCCTTCCATGTTTTCTCAGATGTCTGTGAATGGTTTGGATAGTAGGTAGAATACATTTTATCCTGCCTATTCAACAGAATGGACCATAAACAATAAGAATGAGTAGCAAAAAGGGACTTTCCAAAGTGAATTTTATGGGAGGCAGGTTGGAATCTTTCACCAGTTTTATTATAATTGGGAAGTCCTTCATAAATTGAGTATGTAGACAAGAAATACTACTCAAACTCATAGCAAGAACAGTCACTTTTGATTTAGTATTTCCACCTCCCGTGCAAATTTTTTATTTGAATTGCACAATAATCTTTCAAAGTTTTAGAATGCAATAACAGTTGTTTATTTTCTTGCTTTTCTCCCCCATTCAGTCAGTTTGTTGGTGGTGACACAGAAAGTCAGAAGTTCCTTACCAACGGCTTTCTGGGTAAAAAGAAGTTGGAAGATTATACAGATGAATATGTAAGTTTGTTATAATGATCAAGTTTTTGAGCTATTATCACAGATACACAGTATAACTAACTGCATGCTTTTATCACCCCTTTCAACAGCATCCAGGAAATACTTCGTTTGGAATATCAGCATTTAACCTCAGCAATGCAATCATGGGCAGTGGAATCTTGGGATTATCCTACGCCATGGCCAACACTGGAATAGTACTTTTTACGTAGGTAACTGAATGTGGTTTAGAAAATAGCTTAACAAAATAGGGAGAGTCAGATTTGAAGGTACAACACCATGAACTAAGAAATGTTTATATTCTATGTATAATATTATATTCTGTGGTCCATCACTTATACAATTGAACCCCAGATGTGGTGTTGACACTGCATTGCACATGTCTATATTAGTCACTGTTTTTCCTTTCAAGTAGATAACAGCAGCAATAGGAAAAGGATTAGCATTCCACTTTTGAGTACTGGGAAGGGAAAAGTAGAGAGAATATTAGTCATGCCATTTCTATTTTGAAATGTGTGCCCAAATAAAAACAGTAGTATGAGAAGCAGCCCAATACAATTATAATCAAAACCTTTAAAAGCTTTCAGATTTTCAGACTACCATTGTTAGAATTTTTAAACAAAGAAACTATAAACTAATAACAACTTCATTTAAACCAGTTAACAGCTGCATTCTTGCAGCATGATAACCCATGCACCAGGGAATGAATGTGAGTTGTTGCTGAAACACGGGTTGTTGTGTTGTCTGAACCCAGCCGACATAGCAAACCATGGTGAACAATACACAGTTTCTAATCAAACAACAAACTATGAGTTCTCTTCATGGCTTATTAGTACAACTGGATTTGGATAACATGATAACCCATGTTTCAGCAACAACTCGCACTCAATCCTTACTTCTTGAAAGTGAATTATAATGTTGTGAGAACCCAGTATTTCTGGGTTCATACAACATAATATGCCATGGTAATGTATAAGCCGTGGGTGGCTTGGCATGTTGTTCAACCCAGCCACAGTGGTCCACAAACCATGTTGCTAATTTCAGACACTATGACAAGCCACCATTGGCTTATCATCCATGGTGTCTTACTTCATTGAGTGAGCCCAGGCTTCATCTGTACAGATGGACTTAGCAGAATTTATTCTATTGGTTATCATTTTCAAATCAATGCAGATAAGTCCAAAATGTTCAGGCGCAGTCACTCATGTTGCATTTTTATGGAAAGAAAACAAGTTGAGTTGTTCCATCCTCTGTAGCATCATCCAATCATGATATTTTGAAACATCCTGTGGGTGGTTCCAGATAGATGACTCCTACTGGTACAAATCAAAGGAAAATGGAATGATAAAGGTAGAAGTTGATGTTGTCTAGACCCCCACTACAATTCTATGAGGCCAGGTGGTTGCACAATAAAAGTCATGTCTAGAAGCAAAAGCCCCATAGCCTCTGAAAGCCCAGTGACTATAGGACAGACCTTAAATATTTAAACACAGGACTTGGAAATGTCTTTATTACTGATCAGCTACACTCCTGATGTCTTTGATGCAAATTGATATCCTTTGCAAGCAAAAAATATAAATTACAACTCTTTCCATCTTCCATTCTATAACATCAATGATGGGACTGCAATTTCAACTGGGAGAAATCTACTAAAAGAATAAATAATTCACCTACTTCATCTCTGTGGAACTAAAGTGATACATGGGAGAAAAATGCTTTCTGCCCATATGGCATGATAGCTCACACTCTGTGAATAGAACCACAGCTATGGACTCACTGTCCAGGCCAAATATGCTAGCAGCGCTGATGGTAATAAGATGTAGCTGCCATACACTATCCATACAGCATATGCCTTGACGGGCAACAACAGATGCCTCTGAGAGACTTTTAAGCCACAGCTAGAGCCCTCTGTCCTGGAGAGAACTTTTAAAATTGTTCCAGTTCAGCAAATGGTTTTGGCTCTTCAGACCTGGAGCAATGTCTTCTAATTTAAGAAAATGCTGCAAATGGAATTGATATTGGGTTTGTTTTCCTATTATTTAAAGAAAATAAGTCAAATATACTCTGTTTATACCAAATTAGATTAAAAGCCCAAACTTATGCTTGTTTAGGCAAAAACAAGTCCTGCAATCTGAGGGTTTCCACACAGCTGAAGGGTTTGCTAAGAATGATAAAATGCATGTTTGGCCTTCATTGTTGGATTGAAAAATCTGACTCCTAGACTTAAAATACACTTGTATTATACATTTTATCAAATATACTAAAAATTTCGGAATTTATCATATATCATTTTCCCTTACATTTGGTCATGTAATTCCTTTTTTTAAAAGACATTTAGGGAAATGAAATTTCATATTTGGGCATTACTGAGAGTCTGAAGATTCCCTAATATAAGGGCCAACTGAAGCCATGGGGCCATTTAAAGAGGTGGTAGCCTGTTCCTAGAGGCTTTCCATTTCAGACCATATAATTATAGGCTGTGGCAGTTATAGGTGGCCCATAAATACACGTATGTATGTATGTATGTATGTATAAATAAATAAATAAATGTGTCACAGTACATTTTATCTATTTGATGCACTGCCTAAGCAATGTAATATGTTTGAAATGCACTGAGTGTTGTTGCATGAGGAAGCCTTTGAACCTTACTATAAATCTAGTCTCCTCTACAGAAGAAGCTCTTTCACCCACTACAGAATCAAAATGGCACTCCTCAATTGAAATCTGAATTTAGAATATATACCAGTTTATCCTCAATCACAGATTTCCAACTTCTTTCATTCCTTACAGAATCTTACTGCTCATTGTAGCTATAATGTCTCTCTATTCAGTTCATCTGCTGCTGAAGACTGCCAAAGAAGGAGGTACGATACGTTTAACTTTGGAAGGGTTCAGTTGGGGTGAGCACCTCCCAAGAGGTAGACAAAAATACAGGCTAATGAGCACTGCTTTTATCAGGCAGTTGGCAAGGACAGGAGCCTATTACTAAAATCTCCTTGTAGCGATGGGAGTATTGCCTTCTGCCTCACATCATGGGCACAATTATCCAAGCAAACTTGAAAAAACTTACTTGCTGCTGATTTCAGCAGGAAAGATTTGAGCACATTTAATTTTTCAATTGAAATAACAGACTTCAGAAATGCTCTGAGTTTGGCTAAATTGGAACTCAAGCTGTTGAACAAAGTAACTCTCTGAATGTGCTTTTTTAAAGAGCCATGCCAAATCCAATCAATCAAAATGGCTTCTAATAAAACTTTTCCTTCTCTGTTGCCCCTAGGCTCACTAATATATGAAAAATTAGGTGAAAGGGCATTTGGATGGCCTGGAAAAATTGGTGCTTTTATTTCACTGACAATGCAGAACATTGGAGGTAAGTGGGATTTGGCTTTTTAATGAGAGGGTTTAACATGAGAATAATTTGTCTCACAATGGAATGCATTATCTGCTGTTCATGGCACAGCAGTCCTGAACACTTTATGATAGGAAGAAACTTAATTACTCTGTGTAGTACATGAGCAATAATTACACTATGGAGGCTAATTTTAGAGCGATTTAGGGTGCTCTCCCAGGCAAGTTCAGACAGAAGAAAGCCCTACAGTTCATGGCATGCCCCAGACAGAATGACTGAAAAAAGTGAAAGGTCAGTTCTCATGTGAAGTTGTGCAGCCGTAGATGGATGCTGCCTGGTTATGATATTTGTAATAGGAAATCCTTATAATGTTGTAAGCCGCCCCGAGGCTTCGGTGAATGGGGCAACATAGAGGTTTACTAAATAAATAAATAATACTTTGCATGGAACATAGCACACCGCCTTAAACTGAAACAGTCCCTTTGCATCTGGCCCAATTCTGCCAACACTGACTGGAGCAGCCTTGCCAGGCTTCAGGCAGGATTCTTGGTCCTACCTGGAGATGCCAAAGACTAAACCTGGAACACTGTCCTTGCAAAGCATGCACTCTGCCAATCCCTTTTCCAAGTTTCGTGCATACTTTGGTCTCTTTGATCTTTGGTTGCTTCTTGAGTTTAAAATACAGGAAGCTGATGGGAGTAGCCCTCTTCTACAAAAGGCTCCACTGGAAATAGCGTTTAAGCTGCAGACCTATATGCACTGACCAAAAATAAAAAGCATCTTCTATTGAACTCAGTGGAGCTTCCTTCTCCATAGGCATGTAAAGGACAATGTTTTCAGAAACTCAAGTGCTTTTAATCCAGTTCAGGTCCTTACTACTACTGTAATCACTATCCTTCCCACTTGTTGAATTGAATGGAGTGATATTATGCTTTCTCTTATTCTGGATATTCCTGTCTGTAAGTTACTTTTCAAAATATTTCACAGTTGTGGATTAGCCATACAAATGGTCTGGCATCCACAGTTCAGTAATTACACTGAAGCTTAGTGATTTCAGCTCTAGGAAAGAATGTTTATTCGCAGTACTCCACAAATTTAAAATTTCTGTTTTTCTGAATGACCAATTTATCCCTGTAGGCCAAAATGAATGGCATATCTGTTCAGGTAGAAATTAAATCATCTGAATGTTTTGGATGTCCATTTTAAGCAAGGTGGTAAAACATTCTAAGTTAATCTATTTGTCTTTTCAGCAATGTCAAGCTACCTCTTTATTATAAAATATGAACTTCCTGAAGTAATCAGAGCATTTCTAGGGCTTGAAGAGAATTCCGGGTATGGCTTTGTTTTCATTCCAAAAAATCAATAAAAATTATATCTGCTTATAAATTAAATAGTATGATTGATACATACTTATGTTGCTCTCTCATTCTAGGGAATGGTATCTGAATGGTAGCTACCTCGTTATATTGGTGAGCATTGGAATTATTCTTCCACTCGCACTTCTAAAGAATTTAGGTAAAACAATTACCTCATTAAAATACATATAAAATACATACCTCTAACAGATATTTGAATTAACAGGCTGATTCACCTGTGATTTAACTGTGCATTCACTTATTGTTTTTGAAGGTTATCTTGGTTATACAAGTGGATTTTCACTTACTTGCATGGTGTTCTTTCTGAGTGTGGTAAGTAATTATACTGTGCAGTTTAGCACTAACATGGGCTGAACCTTTGCATTCTTAATGCATGGAGCAACTGAGTGGGTATAGCTCATGGCTCCAGCTTTTTGCAGTGGGAACCCATCTTTGCTCACCATGTGTCTTCTTGGTGTTTATTAGATCTACCCAGGTTTGGGGTCCTGATAGGAAAAATACATAAGAATTCTGATCGCAACAAAGGTTGCATCTCCCACAAGTTATGCTATGAATCACTCATCATGGTATAGAAGAAAGGAAGGCAGCCGTGCCCCAAAGGAAAAAAACTGTCAATAAATAGCTGACCGCTGCTATAGACGACTGAAACCACAAGAGAATAAGCAGCAATGTTTGCCATTGCAATAGAAGAGTGTGTCCATGTTTAGGACATGGGACTGAGTAATGCAAGGGGATCAGAATTAAGCACTCCTTTGGTGAAAGCATATAAGACTCTTGTCTGGCATAGATAGCTTTGCCATGAATAAGCTCAGGAAGCAGAAAAACAAGGTCACTTAATCATGATCAAGTTGCAGACTACACCCACAAACTTCTTCAGTACCGTTGTATCTTTAAAGAGCAGTCCTTCCAATTCGGTGCTGTTTAGACAGAAGCCATTCCCTGCAATAGCCAGACAGTGGGTGGAATGACGGAGGCATTTTTGCCTCACATTCTAGCTTGACAATCATTTTCAGCAGGACAGGCTGCTCAACTCATTTAGCTATTTAGGAGAGGGCAGGATGGTTGAAGGAGAAGCTCGTGCTTCTAGCAGATCCACTATCTCCTTTCTCCTTCCCTCTCTATTTATGGTCACATTTCTTTTCCTCCCAACCCACCTCTGAGGGTGCAAAAGCAAGAACAGAAGAACCACCCCAGAACTTTCCACAGCTGCTGGGGAGAAATCCCTACTTAAATTCCCCACCCCTCTACCCCTCCACAGCAGCTTGGAGGTCAGCCTTGGGCTGGTGGGAATCTGCACCATCCCATGGTGCCTATGGGCCAATTAACTCCAAAGCATACAGAGACAAATGTCCTATAAAACTATTTGCTTTAGAAAATTAAAACTTCCTTCTGGTAAATACTAGATGACTGTATTTTAGCTTAATTTCAGTGCTGCTACTATGTAACAAACAGGATAAGAATGGGTAAGCCACATGATAACCAGAATGTCAGTAGAGCACTTTAATTGATGCAAAATTCACATGGATGAATTTAATAAACACTAAAGAATGGGCTTTTTTCTACATGAAGCATGTATTGTATGCTTTTCATTCCTTACTCATGGTTTATGGATTCCTTAGACAAAGTCACGACCCTCCAGTTTTGCTTCCTAGTATGACTAGCACTTGTAATTAATTTTTTTAGTGCAGGGATAATGCAGCATTTAATTGTAACAGCAAAATGAAGCAGGACTTCCTTCATGTATTCGTGCTATACCACAGTGCCACCCAGTGCATACAGTGGAAAAACAAGAAAGAAAAATTGCCCCAGAGTGCGGTGATCTCAATTCTGCAACATAAGCAAAAGCAGATAGAGCAGACTAGAAACATTCAGTATCACCAAGACAAGGAAAATAGAAATCTAACCTCATCAAGTATAGCCTTTTGAGAGACAGCAACATTTTATGAGGAGATTTATTTATATTATATTTATATTGTGATTTATATCCTGCCTTTTTCCTACAAAGGGCTCAAGGCAGCTTACATGTCTGTGACTTCACATATTTAGTCTGATGATGCATATTTTAATCTTAGGTCATCTATAAGAAATCCCAGATCCCATGTCCTCTCCCACTCTTGGGTCATACTGTTGGCAACTGGTCCCATAACAGCACCACAGTTCCACTACATGTAGTGGTGATGTTGCCAAATGACTCTGCTGATTCAGAGGTGAACTTTATGATGGACAGCAACCTCAAGCAGTACTCGTCAGGGTTTGAAGAAACCAAGGACAAGCTACATCAAAGTGGAGTCGAATATGAAGCCCATGGAGAGGAGGACGACAAGTGCCAACCGAAGTATTTCGTGTTTAGCTCACGGGTAAGGTACTCTTACTGCGCTTGACAGACAATTGCCTGTACACAGCCTACAGTTTTCCCTTGCCTGAAATGACCCTGGGAGTTGTTCTGAGAGAAGACATCCTGGGAGGTTTGCATGTAGCCAAGGAATCCCAACCAGTACTCCAGCCTGAAACATTTCCTGGAGTCTCCTTAAGATCAAATACCCACTGGGTGCATATCCTTATTGGGATGGCGTGTTATCCTTTTTTCCTGCACAGTGCTTAGCAATACATAGATGTTGCAGTAGCAAGTAGCTATGCCAACATTTGCCAAAGCTGATTGGAGATGATGGCCATGCTAGTACAAAACCGCTGGAAGGCACCAGGCCAGGCTCTTCCATCTCCTAACTTCCTTCATGGGTCTTTATAGACAAGGTATCTTTTCCACAACCCAATCGAATGACTAATTTAAATTCTATTGATTTCCATGGCTCCACCTCAAGTGTGACTAAGCAAGTCTGGAACCAACCCATCATGAAGCATTCCTTCACAAGGTCCCTTGTGCCAAGAGGAGGTACAGCATGGGATAGCGGCCAACTATCTGTCCAAGCTTTTTTATTTGGTGCTTCTGTCATGGACAGAGCTTCTTCAGGAAAGTTGCAGCATAAAGCCGCGTTAACATTGCTTAATAAACCAAATTCAGGTTATTCAGTGAGAAACAAAAATGCTAACCAAAGATGTTTGTGTGCTCATTTTGTTTTTTAGACTGCCTATACGATACCCATCCTGGCATTTGCTTTTGTGTGCCACCCTGAAGTTCTACCCATATACAGTGAACTGAAAAAGTAAGATACTGTATTTTTCGCTCTATAAGATGCACCTGACCATAAGACGCACCTAGTTTTTAGAGGAGGGATCCATGGAAAGCTTCCTGATAATCACAGGCACATTCCCCATCACTTTCCCATGGCTTCATTAAAAGTCGGGTTGCCATTTGACAACACCCACCAACCTGTGATTAACAGCTCTCACCTGCACCAGAGAAGGGGGGCGGAGCAGGGTGTGCCGAGGGCATGCCGGCCAGGTGTGGTGCGGCCGGGCCGGCAGCATGCCAGCAGTGGTCTTCCAGGTGGTGCAGCAGCAGCGGCAGGTCTTCCCAGGCAGTGGGGGTGAGCAGTCCGTCTCTCCATGCGGCCGGCGGGTTAGAGCCCGCAGCTCCTCCTCCTCTGCATCACTCTCCCTGAGCAGCACAGCTCTCACGTGCGCTGGAGGAGGGGGTGGAGCAGCGCGCGCCGAGTGCGTGCCAGCCAGGTGGTGCCACGTGGTGCAGGCAGCCGGCAGCATCCCGGGCGTTGGGCACACACACATTTGCTCCATAAGACGCACAGACATTCCCCCTTACTTTTGAGGGGGGGGGGAAGTGCGTCTTATAGAGCAAAAAATACGGTAACTTTTCATAAATGTACTCATATCAACCAACCTCTGTGCTTAAGCTGGGCTTGTGACTGAGGTCCTTTTTGTTGGTTCTCTTGCTTTAGTTCCTAAAGCATGAATAAGCTTCCCACTAGTAAATAATTATTTCTCTTAAAATCTCTTAAAATAAAATGAGTTTATTTGCTCATTTCCGTACATACCTGCATGACTGCTTTGAAAGTATATATACCTTCAATGTTTGCATTATATTCCTCCCATGTCTTCCCACAAAACCAAAGCATGGACCCATTGAATTTTATCCCTTGCCTAATATAGCCTTCCTAATGACTGTGTTTAAAAGATTAGGCATGGCCAACAAAAGAGATTTGCTGTCTGAAAGTTAATCATGCTCTTATTTTCCTGTCCTGCTTTTGGGATGTTTGTTTGTTCCTGCACAGAAAAAGCATGATCTCAAACATTCATTTTTGAAATAACACGCATGAAGGTGTGACCCCGTGGCTGCTAAACAGAGTCTGAAAGCTGTAGGATTATTCAAAGTCCCAATTCCAACTTCAGAAATTCGCTCTGAGGTCAGAGCTGGAATTCGGAACACCCTCCATCTAAACCACACAGCCAATGAAAAAACAAAACCAAAAAATGCCCAAAAACAGAAAACACAAAAAACCTGAATGGCTACAACCCTGAGGATGTAACGCAACCTCTGCAATCAGGCCTGGGGAGAAGAAGCAACCTCCCCTCGTGTACACAGTATCCTGCTGGCACCTCAGCCTCCTTCCTTCTCATGCCAAAGCACTACACTTAAACTGCTGGAATAGCCGTCCAGGTGCTTGGCATAGAAGGTAGAGCATGGGAACCACCTTCAGCTCCACATGGCTTGTCCCTCTGTAGGATGGTGGTAATCTTCCAAGTTGGAGGGTTATGGGCAGCCTCCTTGAACTGCTCTATGAATACAGTTAAATAGGCAGGAAGAGGCGCTGTAGCACCAAGAAATGTATTTTTGCAAGGAACCAAGAATTTTCTCCCGCCTCTCCAAACTGCAATTCCCTGAATTCCTGGGGGAAGGAATAATTGTTAAAGCAGTTTAAAACTGGCTGTAGGTCTGGAATGTAGGTGTAGCACTGTGGTGTGTCTTACTTTTTACAAAGTAGCTGTAAAATCCAAAATAGAAATAGCACAAAGAAAAGGAATAGCATCTCTCTGGAGGATTGTGCAATATGTGTGCTGGCTTGATTCGATCTTTTTTGCACTTTCCTTCTCAGCCGATCTCGCAAACGGATGCAAAACGTTGCCAACGTCTCCATCACTGGGATGCTCGCCATGTATTTCCTTGCTGCCCTGTTTGGCTATCTTACTTTCTATGGTGAGTCTAAGCAGCTTCTCTCAGAGATTGAAATGGTGTCTATTCTCCTAGCATTTCCTTTCATTCTTTCAGTATCCTTCAGTGTCCTGGAACATATTTTCACACATGTCCCATTTAAATGCACTTCATCCTCAGAATTTCTGGACCAAGTTTCTATTATTTTCCCCTTAAGTCTTGTTGTACAGGAAGGATATTATTTTGCACATTCATGAACGAATTGATACTTCTCCGTATGAAAGACATGCCTGCTTTATAAAAGCAGTAATGCCTTCATTTGCAATTGTTTCTTCACTGTGAAAAGCCATTAAACTGTAACCAGGTGGGCTTTATTCTGAGAGAGAGGGGGGGTGGGGTAGAATGATTTTCTAAGAAAGCTCATTTTGGCCTTTTTTTTTTTTTTTTGCAGGAGAAGTTGAAGATGAGCTGCTTCATACATACACTAAAGCATACAGTTTTGATACATTTGACATCTTGCTTTTGATGGTTCGCCTTGCAGTACTTGTAGCTGTGACACTGACTGTGCCAATAGTCCTATTCCCAGTAAGTCGAAAGACAACCCATTAAATAATTCTCAGCATTCCATATGTTAGAACCTTAATTTCTGTCTTTTTCCCCTTCTTTCTTCTTTCCTTTTTTAATTTATGGTAACTCCATTGTATCAATGCACTCATTCAGTTTAGCACTGCAGTAAACCAAACCTTGTATTTATTTTGAACTCTGAATTTAGCTTCCGCCAAAGAAGTATTGTTATTAAATAGTCAGAATACTACACATTCACATCTAGAAAGCTTTCTACAGTTTTCTCAGGATACTTCAGGCTGCTCAGGAGGAATTTCAAATGAACAAAATGGCATTCCAGAAATTGTACAGATGAACTTGAGTTGTTGAAGAAACTTGCATTATGGTTAATTCCCATCAAGTTCTTCCATATTTGTGCCAGTGTACATATCTGCAACACACTGAAATCCGAGGCATCAAAGAGCTCTTTTCAGCAGCGAATATAGCTTGGCCTTTATCACATGCAAGCCAAATTTGGGGGTTTGGCTTATTCCAGCTGAATTTTTATTTTAAGACCCATACCACTTTTTTGAACCACCTGTGTGCTGGTATTTTCAAACATTCCATTCAGCTGCACCAACACCAAGAAGGTCCTGTTTCTTCTCCACACTTGCTTGATAATTCATGATGAAGGCAGGACCTCCAAAGGAGAACAAGAAACCCAAGCAGATGGATACGTGAACTTGAAATAACTTCATCCAAGACAACTTTAGGCTTGATGAATCAAGACATAATTGAGCCCACAAACAAGAAAGTATCCAAGAATGCAGGAACAAAACCAGAATTGCGAAAACTAGATTCAGGAACCAGGTATAAGACTTTCTGCCACATTTTGGAATAATCCAAGTCCCTGTGCTGTTATAAAAAGGAGCTCTTTACAGAAAGCATAGAAATGGCTCCCTGCCCACCATGCCTACCCTTGACACCAGTTCTGATTTGGGGCTCCTTTACTCTCCAGACTGTTCCAGTCCCAACCATTTGGGTGAGTTTTGAATATTTAAGGAGAATTGGCTGAGATGCAAGGACAGGACACTGGGCAAAGAAAACTTACTTGACCCTCAGTTTTAGCAACACCCATACACTGGCTTTAGGCTATTTACCTATTTCTTCATCAACCCCATTCATGTTTAGACTCAAAAAAAAAAAGACCTACGTTTCCTGGAATTTCTGCCACCAGGCTGGGAATTGTTGGCTACAACTAGAATTGCACCTCTGAAATGTGCAGGGCTGCTGCTGCCCAGGCACCAGTTCAATGTGCCGCCTTGCCATACCCTCCTCCAACATGCTCTGTTCCGTCCCACTGTGAAGACCCGCGATGGGTCGGACACGACTTCGCAACTAACAACAACAATGAAGACCCACCATTCAGTGGGCGCCAGGCATGCTCAGGCTTCACTGGACTGGTTGGGTGAGCTGCCTCCCCCCACCACAGCATGTGTCCCCATCCCTAATGATTTCTCTTACTCCTGCAGACCTTTGGAGATCCACCAAGCAGGCTGATGCTTTTTGGCTGTGCATAGGAGACGTTTCTGGCTACTTTTGGATTGGCACCATCTCTGAATGCTGCTAGTAGAGAATGGGCAAAATCATGATTATGAGTAACATGCAGGAGCAGTCTGCAGACACTGAAATCCACCACATTCACGTGATTTTTTAAGAGCTCTGATGTATCAGCACTAACAGGCTAGTGCTATTTTTGCTGTGGAGGTTTTGCATTCAAGGCTTTGCATTTCACTATCAGAAGATGCCCATGAAATCCTATCCACCCACCAGTGCCAAGTAGAGCCGCTCCTCGCCTTTCACCTACTTACTATCCCTGCAAGAACTTCAGAAATGCTGTTTAGGTTTGGGATGTTTGCATGAGCAGAGCCCAACAGATTGCTGCCTCTTGCCATTTTCCCTTGATACTGCCAGCTGTAGATTAAGGTCCAAACAAAATGCACAAGCTTCTGGAAGCATGCTTTGATATGGAAAGCCAATGCCTTTCAACAAGAGTTTCCACAGCATGTATTAGTTTGTGTTGCCGCGTTATATAATAATGTTTTATGGTCGTTTTATTGGTTTTGACACGATGCACACCACGATTTTTTGTGGGGGGGAGGGTTAAAGGGGCTAAAATACTATAATTAGGATGCAGTTGAATTCCTGCTGTACATGATGCACAGAAGCTTCTGCACTTGGAGGGTTCTGGGACTCCAATGCAGGGACCGAAACACAGCAGTTGCTATGTGCATTCCAGCAAGATGGCTATTTCCAAGCCCCAGCACTGAGCATGCAGGACTGCAGAAAGCTTCCCCTCACACAATACGAGGACGCTGTGGCATTGTGCCACGAATTAATTAGAAAGTAATTAAAGCTGCTCCATAACAGACTTTTTCTGCATGGTTCACAAAAAAAGAGTCTAAATAATATTCTTCATGTATTTCACTGTTTCTATTTAAGTGTGTGGGTGATATATATAAATTTAGATATGAAATGTTCTTCTAACAGCAGAAGTTTTTTTCTGCAAATATTTTCCTCTTGTATGCTTGTTTGTTCTTCTGCACTCTGAACTATATTTTATATTTTGCCTCAAAGTATGCCTACTATTCATAAAACCATGAACATCATACAAAAATATATCTAAAATGTTATAAAATATATTAAAAATGTTTTAATAAAATAAATAAAATAAATAAAACTAAAGGACATATACCATTTGTGTTATCAAATTGCAAGAGTACATCCTAAATTTAAAACTTGAAAGAAAATGAAACTAAGATGCTGTTATCCCTCCTTTTATTTCCCCTACAGATCCGTACATCCGTTACTACACTTTTATTCCCCAGAAGGCCTTTCAGTTGGATAAGACACTTCCTCATTGCTTCAGTCATCCTTGTATTTAATAACCTCTTAGTCATTTTTGTACCTTCTATTAGAGACATCTTTGGATTCATAGGTATGTTTTAAACACCCATCTTATTGTCTCTGCTAAATACAGAAATGTTTATCTAAAATATCCGTACAGAAACAGGAAATATGGAAGAAACAAAATCTGCCTCAGAGAAATGATAACACAGTCAATTTATAATTATATTAAGTTTCTAGTTCTAGGTGTCTGCTTTTTAAAATTTAAAGCAAGCATGTGGGGTCTAATTTAAAACAGGATCTCAGCAATCAGGGAAAGATTTAATTCTCCACCTCTAAGCTCTCTGGCAATCCAGGTCACTTAGGCTTGATGGGTTTTCCCCTGGCCCAGTGGGATCCATTTATTTCCTTCAAAGTTTAAAAAACACACATTAAATGTCATGCATGTTGTCCTTTAGCTAGTTTCACATGTAATCGACCCAACATTCTGACTTTGTTCTTAGAAATAGCAGATGTGGTACTAAACCTCATTTCCAGCATTTTTTCTTGGGCTCTAATTACCGAATATATAAAAATATACTGCATGTCTAGAAAATTAGATGTCAGAAAGACCTGCTCCAGTCAAGCCCTGTCCTTGAAATCTAGTCATCTGTGTTCTTTACCCCATGGAGGACCATTCTCTCATGTGAGCCCTCAGCTGTAGTCTGAAGTAGCACAATCCAAGTGTAGGCCTATTACATAAATTAGCTTTCCACACCTTCTACCAACTTAGCAATGCCCTGTCTGGACAGGAAATATCTGGCTTCAGTCGTCTATGCTCTGGCAACTTCCAGCCTACATTACTGCAATGCATTCTGTGTGGAGCTGTCTTTGAAAATGGTACCAGAACTGCAGCTCATGCAAAATGCAGCAAAGAAATTAATAGCCTGGACAAGAATATCTGAACTTGTATCACTGAATCTGGGCCACTTGCACTGGCAGCCTGACAGAGGTTCAAGGTTTGGATTTTAATCTATAAAGCTTACACAGCTTTTAATCACATAAATGAACCTGTACAGGAGTTGCTTCCTGTAGCCTGAAGTGCCTGATCCTGCCGAATCTTGGAAGCTAAGCAGGGTTGGGCCAGGATGAACTCTGGAAGGCACACTTGAGTTCTGCATTGAGCTGGCACTTGGACTCAATGGCCTTCTAGGCCCCTTCCAAACATATGTCTCTATGATTCTGTGTATACAAATTCATCATATAAGGCCCTCTTCCAGGAGCTTCTCCTCAGAGCAGCTTAGAAGGCAGCAAAATGAGAGAGAGTCTTCTTGGTGGTGACCCCTCAAATTATGAAATGATCTCCCTTATTATACAGTACTTGCCTGGCACCACCATTGCTATCTTCCTGGTCCAACGTTCAGCTTCCTCTTCTCTGTGGCATTTAGCAGCATACAATGCAAAGTCAGGTCTTTGCTTTTGATTGTTCTACAAAATTGTTTAGATATATGATGTCTCTCTGTGTGATGCCTGTCTATATGTTTGTATGTATAGGCAGTTTTCAGGATGTGTTTTTAAAGTTTTTAATCCTTGTAAACCACCCTAAGACCTTTGGCTATTGGACAATATGAAAATATAGTAAAGTACTACAGCTCTCATCATCCCCAGACAGCATAGCCAATAGCTGATATAATCTACTAGATATAGTTTCAGTGGAAATGGGTATGATGTGGAAATGGAATAGAATGGAATAAAATGGAAATCTACATTTACATTGTGGAGTAGAAGAAAAAATGCACATATCTGTGTTTCTTCATTCCGAGATGATCCCAAATGCTGACAATTTCTGTTTCCTATTTCAGGAGCCTCTGCTGCCACCATGCTGATCTTTATTCTTCCTGCTGCCTTTTATCTCCGGATTGTCAAGAAAGAGCCTTTCAGGTCACCTCAGAAGATCGGGGTAAGTGCACCAGAAAGAAGCGGCATCCTGGCTCAGCATTGTAGTATCTTAAGATGTCTTGCCTACTAATTTGGGATTTTTGCTTTGTTCCTTCTCAATTGCAGGCTCTGATTTTCCTCATTGTTGGAATTATCTTCATGTTCGGAAGCATTACTCTAATTGTCATGGACTGGATTTACAACTCTTCTGGTTCCAATCAGCACTAATCCAGAAGAAAATAAAGCATGGTTGGATTTTCCTTCCTTCTGGCTGAATGCCATCATCCAGTGAGGAAATAAAAAGACTTGCAACCTTTAGAAGGGAGCGTGACCCCTAGTCAAGAGCTACAAGATTCCAAAGACTTTGCTAGCGATGCCACTAGGAGGAACCTATGGAATATTAAAACACCCTTTAATAAAGGATCATTATTTATGCAACAAAGCCTATGCCAAACCTGGCTGGGCCAGATTAGGATGTGCTGGATGGGGGTGTACAGAGCTAATTATGTATATAGACCTCAAAATACTGTACTGTTACTGTAATTATTGTTTTGATAAGACTGTTTCTAGAATACTGAAAAGACAATGTAGCTGTTTGAAAGTTGCCCTGATGCCTTTTAAACTTGTATGTGGGTATGGTTTATGTTAATATATTATACCCTGTTTTCAAAAAGAGGCTGGGATATTTACCAGTTGTTGAAAAGCTGAGATGCTCAGAATCTCAAGCACAGTTGCCAAGGTGGCGTGTATATATGTATCTATACTGTATGTACATAGAAAACAGAAGAGAAAATAAATGTAACAATAGCTGTTTAAGTGGCTATCTATGAGGTTAAGAAGTACAATCAAAGCAGGATTTATACACACGGTGTGAGCACCGACCTTTGTAAGTATTTTTACATGTTAAGTGATAAATTATATTAAAGGGTGATTACAAGAATGCCCACAACTGAAGCTGTGCCAGTGTGATAAATTCCTTGCCATGCTAACATTCAACAGCTTTTCAAAAATAAACTCTTACAAGCATTGGCCACCATTGGCTGCCATAGAACAGGTCCATCACTGTCAGAAGGTCGCACCATTTCTTGGCAGCCATTTCTTGGCATTGGTGACTTCAGAAGAGAAAAGCTGGGACTACTGTTTAATGTGATCTGCTGGGTGCATAGCTACACTCTTTGGGCCAATGCATGCGTTACACAGACAAAATTAGTCTCTACGTAAGTAATCTGCAACCCAGCTGTAAATTTTTGAAGTATTTATATTGGTGAGAGGCATGTAAAGAGCCTTCACGCTCCTGTCAGATGTTCCTGGAGGCCATTGAATGAGGATTGGAATCATCAGTGTGACAACTGTGATCCAAGGATAAGCACATGTAAGCTTCGCAACCGGAACAGGGTAATTTTGCAGAGGGAGGCTGATTTAATTCCCATGGTAAGAATATTCTGTATATCAGCCAGAAACTCAATCCTGTTAACCTAATTCTATTTTGATATAAGCATGGAACAAGCAATTTTACGTTTGTAATTTGTCTTCCACCAATAACCCAGATGGATGTAAAAAGATCACAAGGAACATGGAAACACCCAAACTAGTATGATTTAATGCATTTTTATTTGATAAATTGGCAGTGCAGGAAACTCTGTCCTTGAAATACATGCACTACATAAATATTTAAATATACAATCTTATTTCTCAAATATCTTGGCAGAATACAGACTTAGCTTGCATTGATACAACCTATCATGGGTGATGACCAGATCATGAAAATTCAGCCCAGTTCCAGCTGGCCTATTTTTCACAAGCACATGCCTTGTTTGAGCACTTTTGATGCCCACAGTAACTTTCCATGTCCTCCAAACCTTGCAGGACAATTTCATCATGGCTTGTCCGCCAGCTGCCTCTTTAGAACAAGGAACCTCCCTCCCCCTCCTTTGCACTCTCACTGACATTACCACCTTTATCCTTCACTACTTTTCAGCTGACAGCTACCTTTACATTATAGCAATTTCTCCCACAGTATTACTGCTTGGTCATTACAGTTGCGTACATCTCCCAATCATACACATTACTCTGTAACCCATCCCAAAATAAAGCTTGCAATGGAGGGAAGCAACAAGCAGGAAGTGGAGGGATTTCTTAGTTCGTGACCATGCTAACTTTAACAAGAAAAAAAGTGTTTGTTAGGTAGTAATTTAAGCATGGAAGCAGATGATGGGAATACAGCAATGTGTAGTTAAATTTTCAGTGAAGTGGACTTGCTCAATTGCAAAAGTCCCTGGGGCAAAAGTACTGGCAAACAGATTACTCTGTTCATAAGGGTTCATAAAATTTATATATTTGTTGAGCTGATGTGGGAAGGTGGAATTTCTCTCTACAGCCAGCAATGTCAGTGGACCCATTAAGAAAAGGGATCCATTTCACAGGGACCAAGACAATGAGGAATTCTGCCATAAAGTCACAGGGGTTACATGTGGGAGACAGCAGGAAAACTGAGGTGTTCGGAAAGGAAGGCTAAGCCATGGTAAGCCAGTTGTCTGTCAGGAGTCCAGTAGGTTGTCTAGTGAACACCAACCATGGTGGTCTATTCACAGAGTGGCTTAACATGACATGAGAACCCATCCACGGCATTTTGATATTTATACTTGTGTGTGTTTTTGTTGTTGTTGTACCTCTAGTCATAAGCTTTCATATTATTCTGGAAAATATTATTTGGGTGGGATCAAAGGAAGTTCAGTTTACATATCAGTATTTGAAATGTATCCATGAATGACCAAGCAGTTATCTAGTAGAATGAGAAAATATGCCTAACATCATTTTCAATAAACTTCAAGAATTCAGGGTTGTTATCTGATTTTGTCAATCTGTTGTTCAAAATGTCTTATTTAAAGTAGACAAACCACATCTACAGCCCAATACTGGAAATACCTCACTGAGGACTGTATTTTCTTTTGAGTGCACAATATTGCTAATTGTGTTTTTTCACTTAAGCAGAATATAAATGCTTTGCAAAAGTACCTTAATAGAGAAGATAACACTTTTACAGTTTTCTATATTTTGAATTATCGTGTTGAATATAGAATGGGTCTGTTGACAAAAAGTACTCTATTGCAGAAAACACAATCCATCAAAATTTAAACATGTTTAAATTGTGTGTGTGTGTGTGGGTGGGTGGGTGTGTGGGTGCCTTATTATGAGAATGATTCAAACACATACTTGCCTCATTTACTGGAAGCAATGGAATTTAAAAATTGCTTACCTATCCATTAATTGTGCCCCATGAGTTTTATTTGGACAACTTTAAAAAAATCTGACCTTATGCTTTTAATGAAGCAAATATTAGTGGCAAAAATTTGGCATCTACAGCAACTTCTTATACATAAATTGTAAGCGAAATCCAATACACCAAACCCCAATACATGTAAGCATGACTGTTCAATCGCAGCCTTTTAATCAAAGTTGCAAAGGGAGATTACAAGGGTGAAGTGTGACATTCCCTTATTTCTTTAAGGATACAGCATCCGACCCATCAGTCAAACTTATTCTCCTCCAGTGAAGTGCACATGTACAATAACAGATAAATGAACAAACTAATCCCCTTGAAACAAAGAGAATTGGTCCCAAAGTGTGCCGCCAGGCTCCAGCGGGATAGGAGCTGACAGAAAAGGCCAGACTTCTCTTATCTGATAACACTTTTTCCAACTGCAGTTATGTTATGAGAAGCAAGAAAGGGTTTAACTGCCATGGGAGATCAAGGAAAAGTCAATGGGGTTATGGACCAGAAATAATGTCAGCAAGAGCAAGAATTCAAAAATGAAGATGGCCAGAATGAAAACCAATTCTGAAGCAAACCCTTCCTCCGCCTGCTCTGCTCCCACTGCTCAAAATTCCACCTCAGCTCATTATGCTTGAACCAGCCCCCTCATCTTCCAGTTCCCAAAGGCCCAAAGCAGATGTGACATTAATTGCCTGAAATCTATAGACACAATTACATACTCTCTGGGTCTAGATGGTATAGGAACATGGCCACTGGAGACATTATTAGTGGTGTGAGGCAAGCCCTCTCGACCTCATACCCATCACTGAAATTCCTGGACCAAAGTGGGGCACAAAAATAAAGGGAAACTTTCCTGATCTTTCTAAGATACATTTTGTGGAAGTAGGAAGAATCACCTTTTACAGGAACAGAAAGGTAATAGGAGAAGCATTAGGCAGCATGGAGATGCATTGCTAGTTTGCCTCCCCTGCTGAATTTCGGCCTGTTATAGAGTTTCTTCCTCCTTCCAGGGGAAAGTCATAGATTCCAATAGCAGGGAACTTTACCAGACCTGGAAGCTACATTTCCATAGGACGAGTCCAGTGCTATTGTAATGTCTAGAGGTCCATGGTCATAGGAAGTAGGCCAACTATGTGGGTTCTTATCTAGAAAATGTTATCCTCAGCTCAGCATTGAAGTGCTCTTTAAATGGAAAGGTTTCCCAAGATGGGAAGGCCTCTCTCATTGATAGAGCTCAGGCTAGCAAATACTGTAGCAATGCCATGCAGTGAACCCACAGGAAAACAGCTTCCATGGGGTTTCCATAATATTTAAAGCATACCTTAGAAGTGTTATGAGAAATTGATCCGCAAAGCAACAGTGTTGTTTCAAGCCAATCAAGGAGCACATGGTGGCAAGCGGGGTCTGAATCCTGTTCAGAAGTATTCAGAAATGGAACATAAAGAAAGTAAGACCAGCAAGGGGGCAGTCAAGTCCCTGCCAGAGGCTCAGACATCAGCAAGGGCCCCCTTGCAGCATATGGCACGACTTCCTGCATCTCCTCTTTGCAGTTGCAGCTTGTTGACCTGGCCTGTCCAAGTGAGCAAGCAGCGACCAGAAAACAAAAGAGGGCGCAGCATCTAGAGACTGTACCTGAAAACAGAGGACAAGAGAATGGGCAGAGAAAAGGCGCTACTGAACAAACCTTGTCTACTGGCCACACAAAACCTGGAGCTGGCAGTTAGGATGAAAGATAAACATTAATGAAAAGCCTGGGTTAAACATCCACCTACGCACATCCTTTTGTTCGGTGTTGGCAAGCTACATTTATGGAGTTCCAAAACTTTTAACCTTTCCTTTGGCCTTGAAGGTCTAAATAGCCAGGAGGAAAAAAGGAATGGGCATAAAATTGGACTCGCTGAAGCAATGACAAGAAGAGGCAGCGATTAGATGAATTGGTCTCCAAGACACCCAGCCTGCAAAGCATAGGAAAGCACCGGGCCCAGTTGGATTTTATCTTTCTAAACTAAGAGCATTAGTATCCCTCTAGGTTTCCATTCCTTTTCACAAGCATAACTTGGAAGTAGGCCATGTGGTGTATTGCACCAACTGTGAGTGGGGGAATAATTGCTAGCCGCCCATTCACTCAAAAGAACCAAAGGCCTGAACATACATGCATGGGCACACTTTAGAATCCTGCACAGCTTATTAAACCAGTTTGGTGAAGGCAATAATCACAGGATGATGAAATATTGTTGAAACTCATGAAATATATTGCAGTTTCATCTGTTAGTGCAACGTTTGAAATATATGCAGATAACTAGACTGAGGGGCTTGGTGCCACTGGCATCCTGCACCAACAGGGGTTGAACTCAACGGCCTTCTTCGACCCTTCCGATCCAACCATTCCATGTGATTTGCCAATTCAAAACATTCTGTTTTCTTAGAACAACCTCAGATATTCTCTTGGATGACTGTGCCTGACACAAAGCCATATAAAGAGGGAGATTCCTCTGAAAGGTTGCTTTAAAGTATTCTGGGGACACCCTTAAATACAAGCTGAGGCACTGAAAACACAGAGGACTTTTATCTGGGATATTTTGCAGTGGCTAGTGTGGAGTTTTTAAGAGTATGGGGTTTTAAACTGTAAACCACTCCAATTTTTCATGCTATTCTAGAAGTTTTAC